AGATGTCCCCGCAAAGCCTCACGTAGTCATAGGTGGGGCTTTTTAGAGGTGGCTGGATCTAGAGTGTGTGATGCTAGGATCAAGAATGTGATGCTGGGATTGATTTGTGGTGCAATGCTAGGATCATGGCTGCCTCACCCTGAGTGCAAGTGATACCCATCCTAAGTATGGGAGGCCTGGATAAGATGTAAGGGACAAAAAGAGTGGTACTGCTTGTCGTTGCTTCTCATTTTCTCCGTGTGCTTAGCTGCCTTGCTGCCTTCTGCCTCACATGAACTGTTTCTCCTCTGCAATGCCCCTGTGCCACACCACCCTGCCTTGGAATCAGCCAACTATGAATTGAAATCTCTACAGATTGTGAGCTGAAATAAACCTTTTATCCTTCTTCTTTGACTTTGGGATTTTGGATATTTTTGACTCAGCAATAAGAAAAGTAACCAACACAATTCACATATAGCACTGAACACTGCATGTAGGTCATTTATTTGCACAATGCTCATGGTATGTAATTTTTTCCATTCTCATATATATATCCTTTAACTAACTAAACTATAATCTCCAGGAGGGCAGGATATATGATTATTTGCATTCCCCACAAAGCCCAGCATAGTACTCTGTTCATAGAAGATATTGTCTGTTAAGTAATTTAATAAATAATAAAGTAATTATCTAACCAGTTCAATGATAAGCGCCTAGAGAAAAACAAAGTCTATATAATCTCTAAAAAATATCTTGAGCTCTACTGGGACAGAGAAACCCCATTAGCAAACAACACAATTAACAGTGGTTTTTAAAGAGGTCTCCTGCCAACTAGTTATCAACAAAACCCACAGGCCAGTGGTGATGAACCTATGGCATGGGGCTGCAGCAGGCTGTTTTATCATTGAAAGCTCTAAAAAGTATGCCCTCAATAACAAATGTTGGCAGGGTTGTGGGGAGAAAGGAACCCTTCTCCATTGTTGGTGGGAGTGCAGACTGGTGCAACCACTATGGAAATCAATATGGAGATACCTCAAAGAGCTGGGACTAGAGGTTCCATTTGACCCAGCCATCCCTCTGCTGGGTATCTTTCCAAAAGAACTAAAAGAATCATATCACAGTGATATATGCGCACCTGTGTTTATAGCGGCACAGTTTGTAATAGCTAAAACTTGGGAACAGCCCATTTGCCCATCTGTTGGAAACTGGATAAAGAAGATGTGGCTTTTCTATAAAATGGAATATTACTCAGCCATAAAGAATGAGCCATTAGGGGCCGGGGATTTAGCTCAGTGGTTCGGTGGCCTGCCTTGCAAGTGCAAGGACCCGAGTTCAATCTCCGGTACCAAAAAAAAAAGAATGAGACATTAGATTCATTAATAGGAAAATGGATACATATTGAGGATCTACTCCTAAGTGAAATAAATAAGTCACACATGTGTAAATACCGAATAGTTTCTCTGGTGTGAAAAACTGTAATAGTACATAAGATCCTAATGAGATAGCAGACAAGGCAAAATAGGAAGAAAAGGGCTAAAGGTATAGGGAAAGTGGGAAGGGTAGGGGAAAGGTAATAAGGGAAAAGAAAAAAATATGAGAAAATGAAAAAAATGGAAATAAAGTATTTGTAAAGGGAGGAGGGGGTAAAGGGAGGGCAGGGACAAGGGGAAAAAATGAGAACCAAGACCTGTCATGTAAAGGTACAAAATCCCAATAAGGAATGTAACTGTACTGTATACCTAAAATGTACCAATGAATTCAATGAGAGAAAAAATGCAAAAAATAATAAAATAATAAAATACAAAGTTTGCCCTCACTGGAAGAGGCCCTAATGGAATGTCTTACAGGTGGAAATCAACTTATAGAAAAAAGAACAGCCTTCACTACAACTTTTAAAGATATTTTCACCAATCAAGGTTAAAATATGTAGTTCTTATTACTGATCATAACTACTAAAACTTTCAGCCAGCTAAAGAAGATGTCATTTAGATATCACCATCTCCAACACTGATGAAACGCTACCAAGATTTTCTAGAAGCATATAATCTTAGCATTAATAAGGGTCAGTACTCTAATTTCCTACTAATGAAGGAATCTCATCTACAATAAACAATTCTTAAGTGTTCACACATTTACTTGCAATCTTCAAGTGATAAAAACTCATGATCTTATAACAAAACTGCTCCATTACAGAATTACAACACTAACAAAAGGTTACTCTTTACATCCAGGTGAAATTTGTCATTCTGCAAGTCTTACACGTGGTCTTAATTCTATTTTAAGCTTAATTCATCTTTAATGACAGTCCCTAAAATATTCAGAGACTATCACTCCTGCTGTCATCTTTTGTTTCAGGCATATATCTCTATAATCTTCAAATATTTTTTCACATGATATATTTTCAATACCATCCCAGTGATATAAAAGTATGATGCCTAGAGCTATTCACAATGTTCAAACTGTGAATTAATTAACTGGTTCAAGGTCTGTCTAGATCTGGATACTATCAATATAGCCTAAGATTGCGCTAGGTTTTGGTTTTGGTTTTGCAGCTACATCAATTCCTTGATTTAATTTTGAGCCTTACAGACAGTTAAAACATATAAGTCTATTTATTTTTTGGATGGGGTCTTGCTATGTTGCTCAGGCTGGTCTAGAACGCCTAGGCTCATGCAACCCTGCCTCAATATCCTAAATATCTGGGGGTACAGCTGTACAGCATTACACCCAATTATTTGTCTTTTGCATAAGAATTACTATCAAGCCAAATGTGCCTCTGTCACTATCTAGTTTAAACACTTACAGTCTAGTATATGTACAGTTGATTTATTAACTGAAATATTGGCTTTTATAGGCTTAGAGACATTAAGTGACAACTCATTGAGCAAGTTTGTAAAAGAGTTAAGATATAAGAGCAATACTTAATACCAGTTTTTTAATAGTCTTAAAATAGTTTACAAAAGATATTAACATTAAAATGCCAGACAGAATTATAATCAGGAGGCACATTTATGCAATCAGTCTCATATGTATTATAGGGAGCTTTAAACTGAAATTCAGAAAATCTTGATTCTGGTCTCAGATCTTCAATTAAATTATGTTCCCTCTCTAAACCCCAGTTTCATCATTTTAAAAATAAAAGAATGCTCTGATTTGATCATCATACAATGTCTGCATTTATCAAAACAACATATGGTATCTGATAAATATGTATAACTTTTACATGTCAATTTTTAAAAACTAAATGTAGGGAGAAATTAAGCAAAACCTAACAAATAAGAAGACATCTCATGTCTATCAGACCACTTAATATTATTAAGGTAGCAAACCTCCTTAAATAGGTTTACAGATTCAATTTTATCCTTATCAAAATTCCAGCTGGCTTCTTTGCACAAATTGGCAAGCTAATCCTAAAATTCATATGGGAATATAAGAGACTCAGAATAGTCAAAATAGTCTTGATGAAGTTGTATCCCTTCCTCACATCATTCCTGAAGATTAACTCAAAATGTGCCATGATCTAAATATAAGTACTAAAACCGTAAAACTCCTAGCTAGGGAGAAACAGGAGCCCTCGTATGCTAATGACAGAATAGAAAATGATGCAACCACTGTGGGAGACATTCTGGCAGCTTTTCAAAGGGTTGAACAGAGTTAGAGCTACTATGCTACTAAGAAATTCCACCTTCAAGTATATACCCAAAAGAAGTAAAAACGTATGTACCCACAAAAATCTATATATGAATGTACACAGTAGAATTATTTCTAATAGCTAAATATTAGAAAGTACTCAAATACGGCCAGGATTTAGCTCAGTGGTTCTGCTGCCTGCTTCACAAGTGCAAGGTCCTGAGGTTTTTGGTCCCCAGTACCAAAAGAAACCATACTCAAATGTTCATGAATGGATGAACAGATCAACAAAATATGACATTACCACAATGGAGAATATACTACAACACAGATGAACTCTAAAAATAATTATGCTAAGTGAAAGAAGGTAATCACTAAAAGTCATTTATTGTATGAGTCTATTTATATGAAATTTCCAGAATAAGCAAATTTATACAGAAAGAAAGTAAATTAGTGGTTATCAGAGCTAAGGTCAGGGGAGTGACTGCTATTGACAAGGATGTTTATTTTGGGGGAAATGAAAATGTCCTAAATTTAAATTGTGGTGAATCCTACCCAGTTCTGTGAATACATTAAAATCACTCATATTTATAAATAAATAAATTTTATGGTATATGAACTATACCTTGATAAAGATGTTAAAAATAAAAATAAGAGGATTAAACTACATGATTTTTAAGCTCTTACACAACTAGAGGACACAAACTAAGTTTACATTTTGTCAACTGAGAATGCACACCTAACCTCATAATGATAAAAGGAGTAAACCCACAAGGTAAACAGCAGTAATGTACAACACTGAATATTATGTGACACTTGCATCAACAGCCAGCCACAGTAGTGCACACCTATAATCCCAGCTACTCTGGAGGCAGAGGCAGGAGGATCACAAGTTTGAGGCCATATTGGGAAACTTAATGAGACTCTGTTAGGGTATAGTTCAAGGATAGAGCACTTACCTAGTACATATTAGGCCCTGAATTCCACACCACACCACAAAAAAATCAACCAACAACCTAGAACAATTGCAAATAAGAAGGCTCTTTTAGCCGAATGTTTTAGGCAGACTGTGAATGTTAAGGAGGAGTCACAAACAGAGATGTGTGTTTCAGGTCCATGGTGTTGCCATAAATAGATGGCAGATATTACATGTAGTGTTTGAAAATTATGTTTAGCTGTATATCTGTCTTGTCACTCTCCTATACTCCCACACAGATTCCAGTCACTATCAGTAATATCACCTTCAGACATAAGGCACAGATAAAAAGGACAAATATAGTATCTTATAAAAGTTACAACTAACCTTTTTTTACCAGGTTTTATCTCATCATTTTTGGGTTTATGTATACAAAATGCCCCCACTGTAAGGCCCTGATGCCTATGATACCTACTGATTCTGCTTGGTAAGACAGCACTTTGAAGAGGTCCTTCTCAATGGTAATTTTTTGTATAATTAAGTGGGCCTTGTTATAGCTCCTCTGCATTAATTTGACATATAATTGCTCCAGACCCTGAAAAACAAAACAATACGGTGTAATGATGAGAATAACCACAAATGTTACTACTACCTGCCCCAGCTAAAACTCAAAAGTAACTCACAGCCATGGCAGCTTGAAAAAATTCATCAGCATTCAGAGCATTTCCAGCATCCACCCATTCTTTTCCTGTTTTCATATTCATCTAGAAGAGAGAAGTGAGGAAATAATTTGTTAAAATTTATACATGCCCCAAACTTGTTGAGGATACTGAAGAAAGTAATCCTGTGAGTATAAAATCACATAAAGGAGTAGGGGAAGTGGAAAGGGTTGGGGAAAGGAAAGAAGGGAAAAGAAAAAATATGAGAAAAGGAAAAAATGGAAACAAAGTACTTATAAATAGGGAAGGGTGGAGGGGGTGAATTAGGAGGGGTGGGGAATGGGGAAAAATTAAGAACCAGTTAAGGCATGCAAAGGTACAGGATCCCAATGATGAGTGTAACTGTATGGTATACCTAAAATGTACCAATAAAGTTAATAAAGATTAAAAGAAAAGAAATAATCACTCAGGTAAAAAAGGAGATAACAGGGATGGGGATTTATCTCAGTGGTGCTGCTGCCTGCCTTGCAAGCAAGGTCCCAAGTTTGATCCCCAGTACCAAAAAAAGAGAGAGAAAGACAGATAACCATAATGAAGGACTTGCTCAGTGGAGTTAAAGTAGACACAAATTTTTAAAAAAAGGAGGTTAGGAAAATGATGGAAATCATAAGTGACCACCATAGGAAAGAAAATGAATCCATGATTCCAATATGCATTGAATCCAGATCCAAATATGCATCCAAGAGAATAAACATTCTGTTGAAAGTATATGTAGCAGAATGAACCAATGTAAGAATAGAATATTAGATCTAGAAGACAGGACTGTAGTTAGTGATCATGAAAAGAATGATTTCTTAAAAAGAGCAAGGGATCATAAAAAACCAATCCAACAGCAGCAATATGATGCTAAGAAGAACAAAATAAGATTGATCGAAGTCAACAAAAAAGCTGGAGCTAGCACAATGACATAAAAACATCTGTACCCAAAGCTAATGGCAGAAAACATTCCAAGAAGGGAAAAATAATTGACATACAGATAAGTGAGGCATAAAGAACTCCAATTAGCCATGACCAAAATAAATCTACACGAAGACATATAATACTCAATATTCCAGAAATTCAGCACAAAAACAGAATGCTAAAAGCTGTTAGAGAAAGAAACAAGACACCTATAAAGGAAAGCCCATCAGAATCACAGCAGACCTTTCAATACAAAGCATTAAGGTAAAGAGGACTGGAAGTAAAGTATTTCAAGTAGTAAAAGAAAATAACCTCCAACCCAGATTGATGTACCCCACACACTACCTTTCAAAATCAAAGGACAAAGGGATGGTTTCAGTGGTGCTGCAGCCTGCCTCGAAAGTGCAAGGTTCCAAGTTTGATCCCCAGTACCAAAAAAGGAGGAGGAGGAGGAAAAAATGGTCAAATCCTGTGAAATCAATGGAGAAATAAGACACGTCAATGACAAAGAACAAATGAAGAAATTTAGGACAACCAAACCAGCACTCCAAAATTTTCTGAAAGATATTCTAGAAAGAGAGAAGACTACTACTCTGTGAACACCAATAGTAAGAATCAATCAGGAAAGGCAAACAAATAATCAGAAGGGGAAGACAGGAAATAAAAAATAAGAATATAAGCTGGGGATTTGGCTCAGTGGTTCCACTGCCTGCCTTGCAAGCACAAGAGCCCAAGTTTGATCCCTGGTACCAAAATATATATATGAATATAATCTGACAAGCATAAGTCAATACATATCAGTTATAACCATCGATGGAAATGCTCTCAATTCAGACTGGCAGAATGGATCAAGAAACAAGAAGCCAGGCATGGTGGCACATGCCTGTAATCCCAGCACGCAGGAGGCTGAGGCAGGAGGAACGCTGTGAGTTCAAGACCAGCCTGGGATACATAGTGAGTTCCAGGTAAGTCTCAACTACATAGTGAGACCCTGTCTCAAAAAAAAAAAAAGAAAGAAAAAGAAACAAGATACAACAATGTGCTGCATACAAGAAACACATTTAACTAAAAAAGAAATTCATAGGCTGAAAGTCAAAGAATGGGAAACAATACTTCATATGACAGAAACCCAGAAAAAAAAACAGGTAGTTCTTCTATTTCAAGACGAAGAGAACTTCAAGCTAAGACAGATCCAAAGAGACAAAGAAAGTCATCACAGGGCCAGGAATTTAGCTCAGTTGCACCAAGCCTGCCTCACAAATACAAGGTCCTGAGTACGATCCTGGATACCAAAAAAAAAGTCATTACATACATGTTATGGGAAAATTCCAAGAGGAAACAATAAAAACCATGAATATGTGTATGCCCCAAATACTGCACATCCAACTGTATAAAATTAATATTAATGGACATGAAAAACCAAGATAACTCTAAAGCAATTGTAATGGGTGACCTCAATACCCCACGGTCATAAATAGATCAACTTCACAAAAAAAAAAAATTTTAACAAAAGTATCAGAAGTGAACCATATGGACTCAGTAGATGTCTACGAGTATTTGATCCCACAACATCAGAATATGCATTCTTCTCAGAGGCATATAAGATATCCTTCAAAGCAGATCACATACTAGCTCTTATAACATACTTAGGTAAATGAAAATGAACTGCATATTATCAGACAAGAGTGCAATAGAATTGGAAATCAATTGCAGAAGAAACCACAAAAACTACATGAGCATATGGAAATTAAATAACACTATCCTGAACAACAAATGAGTCATGGATGAAATTAAAGAAGAATTTAGAGAGATTCTACAGTTAAGAGATAATGCCAATAGTTTCTCTGCATGGAAGGGGCAGGTGGCCTCAGAGGAATCTAACTGGAAGTATCCAGTAAATAAAAGATCAGGATAATGTGTTTTAGAATCTCTATATGCTGAAACAATTGGACATTCACAGCCAAAATATGAAATTTGAACAAAACCCAATGCAAGATAACAAATTCAACAAAAATTAGCTCAAATTGAACAGCTAATTTAACTCTAAAACATAAAATGATTTAATATTTAGAAACCAGAGAAAATCTCAGAATTACTCCAAGCAGAAGTTCATAAGCTTGACAGTAAAATTGGAATCTATATAACAAAAGTGGTATATTGGACTTCATATATATCAAAATCTGTAAAACCCCAAATGAAAAGGATGAAAAAGCAACCTAAAGACTCCAAGAAAATTGTTACAATCCATATATATGACAAAATCCTAGTATCTAAAGTATATAAAGAAGTCTCAAAACTCTATATTTAAAAAACCTAAGTCCACTATCACCACTCCTGTTCAATATAGTTCTAGAAACATTACGCACAGCAATTAGATAAGAGAATAAAGATAGGAAAGGAAGAGTTTTAACTGTCATTATTTGCTGACTATGATACTCTACATAGAAGACCCAAAAAATTCTGCCAAAAGACTTATAGACTCAATTGAAAAAATCAGTAGAGTAGCTGGATACAAGGTCAACAATCAAAAATCAATAGCCTCCTTGTACATAAATAACAGACTCACTGAGAGAGAAATTAGACAAACAATTCCTTTCACAATAGCACCCCCAAAAATGAAATACCTAGGAATCAATCTAAGGAAGTATGCAAAAGACCTCTACATTGAAAACTATAGCACTCTAAAAAAAGAGATCAAACAGGATACAAGAAAATGGAAAGACATCCCCTGTTCCTGGGTAAGAAGAACCAATATAGTGAAAATGGCCACACTTCCAAAACTGCCATATAGATTTTATGCAATCCCAATAGTGTATTTCACAGAACTAGGAAAAAAAAATACAAAAATTCATTTGGAGCCAGAAGAGACCTAGAATAGAAAAAGCCATTCTAGGCAACAGAGACATGTCAGGGGGTATCACAATCACCAACTTGAAATTATACTAAAAAGCCACTGTGATAAAAACAACATGGTACTGGCAAAGAAACAGACCTGAGGATCAGTAGAGTAGATTAGAAGATGCAGAAACAACTAAAGACATAACCAGCTGCCTTATCTTTGACAAAGGAGCCAACCATCCTCACTGGAGGAAAGATACCCACTTTAATAAATGGTGTTTGAAAGTTGAATTTCAACCTGACAAAGATTAAAACTAGACCCATATCTATCACTATGTACTAAATTAAATTGAAGTGGATTAAAGATCTAAATACTAAAAGAGAAACACTAAACTTGCTGAAAGATAAGTTAGGTAGCACTCTTGAATTCATTGGCATAGGAAAAGTCTACGAACAAATCCTCAGAAGCATGGGCATTAGCACAAAGAATCAACTGGGATTTCATCTTATTAAAAAGCTTCGGCACTGCAAGGGAAACCACCAACAGAGCTAAGAGACAACCTACAATGTGGGGAAAAAATTTAGCAGCTGTTTCTCAGACAAAGAACTACTATCTAGAATATATGAAGAACTCAAAAAAAATAGACCCCCCAAATTTATTTTTTTTCCTTATTGAGTTTATTGGTACATTTTAGTTATATACATGACAGGTCTTGGTTCTCATTTTTTTCCCCATATCCCTGCCCTCCCTTCACCCCCTCCTCCCTTCCCTATTTACAAAAACTTTATTTCCATTTTTTCATTTTCTCATATTTTTTTCTTTTCCCTTATTTCCTTTCCCCTACCCTTCCCACTTCCCCTACACCTTTAGCCCTTTTCTTCCTATTTCACATTGTCAATTATACCATTAGGATCTTATGTACTATTATAGTTTTTCACACCAGAGAAACTATTGGGTATTTACTCATATGTGACTTATTTATTTCACTTAAGAGTATATCTTCAATATGCATCCATTTTCCTATGAATGACTCTAATTTCTCATTATTTATGGCTGAGTAGTATTCCATTTTATAGAAAAACAACATCTTCTTTATCCAGTCTTCAAATGATGGGCAAATGGGCTGTTTCTAGGCTTTAGCTATTACAAACTGTGCCGCTATAAACATGGGTGCGCATATATCACTGTGATATGATTCTTTTAATTCTTTTGGAAAGACACCCAGCAGAGGGACGGCTGCGTCAAATGGAACCTTTAATCCCAGATCTTTGAGGTATCTCCATATTGATTTCCATAGTGGTCCCAC